GACTACCAAAATAGGCTACCAACAAAGTAGAATATACCTCCCCTAAACCAAGCAGCTTAATCCCATGACCACCTAAATAGGCCATCGAGTAATACTCACAACAAAGAACACCAACTGAGCAACAAAATAGACATCATGCTCGAAAATTGCAGCAACTCAACAGAACTAGACTATGAAGAACTTCAACGCCAGGGATGAGGAAATGGGAACCGCCGAGAACACACTGGAGGGCCTGAGACAAGGATCCGAGGAGGCACCACCACGACAACTCACAACCGAGCAGGAACCAAGAAGTTGAAAATAGAGCGCAAGACCGGACCTCCGTCGATTCGACGGACTTTTGCGGATTGGGCTGGAGATGGCGGTCGACGACCTCTTCGGCGCCGGGAGAAGGTCGGGAGGCGAAAATCACCGTTGGCACTTCACCCGATTGGCTCCAAGAAAGGGGCTCCCAGCCACGACTCGGCCAAGGCCTGGCCGCTGGGGATAACTTGCCGAAAGAGGGGCTCTTTTTTCTTGTGGAGAGAAAAGACGGGCAATGAGTAGGTGGATATATATATATTTATATATATATATATAAAAAAAATTAATTGAACAAATTCTCGCATAGGAAAAAAGGACGAAATACTGGGATTTAAAGAGTATGAAAATCGGGTGGAAAAGGCACTCTGTAAGAGAATTGAACGCGTACCTGAAAACCAGGGATAAGCCTTAATGCAACGCCAGATCTGCACGTTTAAACACAAAAAAAGTTGGTCGAATTGAATATCACCATTACAAATTCCATGCAAAAATTGAAGAATGAAAGAAGAAAAGTTACACTGAGTTACCAGAACTGAGACTGTCACAAGAATTAAAATTTATGGTTTTATCAGTTTATTTTCCAACCAAATTCAAAATGAAACTTGAGTTGTGAAAACATATAGAAACTAAGACTGCCTAATTAGTCATCAAATCAGAAACTCTACACAAAAATATGGATGGCCGAAAATAAAACACAACAAACACTATTTAAACTAAAAAATCCATCAAAAGTTGCCAAAATATAATCAAAGTTATAGGTATCAGACACATTTAATCATAATGTATATAATCAATGATATAATATTGCACCAAATGAAAGATATTCCAGATAATAGACAATTAACACAATGGTGCATAACCTTTCCTCCACCCTCGCCCTCGGAAAAACTTTCCATATTGAAAGCCAAAAATAATCTGAAACATTCATTATTCTAAAGAACAGACTCAACTAAGAATACCAACCCAAAATCTATAAAACCTCCGTAATTTTAAAAGCCAAAAATGTCGAGATCATCCCCAAATTCCAGAAAAATAAAACAATAAACTTACCTCTTTTTTACGCCTTTCGATGCCGATAATCAATCGACGACAGCGAACCACACCTTATTTTGGATCTAAGGCGAGCGATTAACCGTGAAGAATCGCTTTGGATTCCACCACGATGGTTGTGTTCGCCATGACCGGCGGTCTCTCGGATCTCAACCTACCGGGCGGCACGACCGCAGCCTCACGTGTTACCGGCAAGGCTGTGTGGAGGGATTTTAAGTAGTACATAGATTTTTAGATGAAGAGAAAGTTGAAGGGAATGGGTAGGGTTTGCGAAGAGGGAGGGGTTTACCTGCTCCCGTCCTGTCCCGGTTGCGTGAGAAAAAATTCTGGAAAAGAAGGAAAAAAATGTTTCCATATATCTTGACTTGCGGGAATTCCGGACAAAAGCAAGAAAAATGTTGTCACTTGCACCGTAAAAGCAAAGTAAGAGTTTGGTGGAAAAAAGTTAATGGCAGATGAGTAAATCAAGTGCCCAAGCAAGGGCTCTTTGGTAAGAAAAAGACATGTGTCAACACCACAAAACCCCAAAGTTGTTGGGTTATATGTATAGTAGAGATATATATTTGTGCTTAAAAGAGAATTATCTCTTATTCATTTTTTTTTTTTTTTTNNNNTTTTTGACCAAACATTAAATACATAACACTGAACTTCAATATACAAAGTGCGTAGCCACACGACTACAAAGCAAGGGAAAAATCAACAAGAGGTTTCAACATGGTCCACCCAAGTACCCAACATGAATCAACAAAGAGAGAAGAAGTAGAATACCAACCACACCAAAAACACAAAAGAAACTGAAGGTCCAAACAAACAAACAAACAAACAAAAAAATTAATAACAAAGAGAAAAAGAAAAGCCCAAAGTTAAAAAAACTAAGGATAGCCAGTAAAGAAACAACATGGAACTCCAAGGACAAGGCATGCATATCATTAGTAAGCACTGCCACATCCCAGTTAAAGTCTCCTCGGCTAGCCAACTTGCTTCTTAAGCCCTCATCCCTTATGTAAAGCTCTCCCTATGTAAGTTCTGCTCGACTCCCTTGGTTAGCCATTCTCTGATCTGAAGCAACGAGTCCTCAAGATGGTATGAAATATGGGGATCCTTAGGAACAAACCATTGACCACTGCTCCT